CTGTATGTTCCACTGCTGACCTGATCTCAGCTTCAGCAGTGTGAGTGCTGCATGTTGAGAAAGGCATGTGTGGCATTTCCATTGCTGGTGCACAGATCACAAACAACCCTTGTGTTCGCCAGGCATCTTTACTGATTCCTTTCTGTAAAAAAAAGAACAGAAGGATGGTGGCAGTGATTGAAGACATCAGCTGAGGTGGTTTCCTGTCATTCCATGACGGTGAGTGGTAACTTATGTTACTGCCTCTTCCTGCCTCTTGACGGCACCTTGCCTTTGGCTGCCAGAAGTTGAGGGGCTTTGTGAAAATGTGTTTGGATGGCCGTGCTTAGCATCTAACGTTGGACCTGATGCTCCTTTGCAGTGGAATTAAGGTGTAAGTTAATGTTGAGTGACAGTGCTTTCCACAGATGATGCAGACGCTAGAAGAGGTGCTCTTGTTGGTGCTCTTCAAAGCCAAGGATTATTGTTTACCATGCTTCAAGAAATAATGAATATGCTCGTTTTGTAGCATTCATTAAGAGGACTTAGGGAATGGATGCTTGCATGTTTTTGTTTCCCTAAGCTGAAGAGAGATACTCCACTTATTTATTTTCCCATGTGCAACGCCACCTGTACTGGCTGTCATCCTTGTACCCTTTTTTACAGAGTAACCAGAAGCCATAGAGCTTCCAAAATGTGAAAACATTTTATTTTTGTAATTTCTTCCTTTGTCAGATGTTGTTGAATGTTCTTCTGGTTGTTTCTGAATGGCATCTTGATGTCTCCAGATCTTTCCTAAGTAGCAGCAAGGAATTCAGAGCTCCTTGTTGCATTTGCATGGTTGAGGTGGTCCTCATCTATCACATGTATCAAGAGAACCACTTTGTGTTTGCTTGTTGTTTTGCTCATGTACTGCACTATTTGCATCTTGGTTGTCTGCAATAAGCATAATAGACGGTGGGTTAATGCTCACCTCTTCAAAAAACCAGGTGAGTTCTTTCTCCTGGGTGTTATCTTAAGCATTATCTTCAGGACAGTGAAAGCTGTGCTACAGATGCCTGAGCTTCTCCATGGTTTGGAAGAGGAACAACTAAGGGATGTGTTGGGTGTCCTCAGAAGCTGTAGGAGATGAGTGTGTGCTGTCCTTCAGACAAGAAGCAGAATCTGTAAAATGAAGTTTGAAGCAAGCAGATTTGTGGCCAAGAGGTGGAGGTGATGCTTCAGCTGAACGTGGGTGATCTGTGAAACTGTCAGATTCTGTGAATGTAAGTTTACCTGGGTTCAACCTGTATGAACAGCAGCTGTGGCTCAGGGAGTCCTTGGGCAGGCAGCTGTTGTAAACTGGGAGAGTAATGCTGTTGCTAGATGTTGTTTTCATTTTGCTAAACGTTCTTTACCCTGTGTCACTTCGGTCTGCCCAATGCTGTTCCACAGGAGTGAGAAAGAGAAATAGAGTTGGTAATGCTTATCACTCAGAAGCAGTGCTGCACTCTTCATAGCACTCTGGTTTTACGTGAGAAATGGTCCAAAGGAATCTGAATATTGGTGTTGGTTTCTTTTCTCCTATAGTGTGTAAATGTGCATCCTACTGGGAACGTTTTGAGTGTGAAAACAGTCAATTTTGTAACCGTCCATCCCTTGTACAGGTCATGGGTTGCACACACATTTGTTTCTGTGTCTGCTGATGACATTTTTGGTCTCGTTTCTGTGCTTGTTTGTCACGATCCATGGGTATGCACACTCCTTTTTGCAGGCAGTCGACTGGTGTGGCTGGTAGACATCAGCGCTCTCTACATCCTGCATTAACAGCTCCTCAGGATACCCACAGAGCAGAAACCACTTCAGTGCTTGGCTGTGTTCTTTGAATGCAGTGCTCCTTCAGGTTCTTCTGGCATTATCACAGAATTAATTATTATTGCAGAATGGAGCAGGTTGTGTGTACTTCAGAGCAACGTTTGTTCTTCTGTAAAAGAAAAAACGTGTTTCCATGGCATTGGAGGGACCAACACACACTGCGTATCGTCATGTATTTCCAAACAAAATACTGCTGAATATTGAAGGACAAATGAGATGGCTCTGTTCTGGGCTGGCTGTTACTCAGTTCTGTGTCTGTTAGATCTTCTTTGTAATGCAGTCTGATAGAATCATAGAATCACCACGGTTAGAAAAGACCTCCAAGTTCTTCCAGTCCAACCATCCACCTGTCACTACCAATACAAATCAGTTTTTCCCACTAAACAGTGCACCGTGGTACAATGTATGTACACACACAATATGTATTTCTTCAGCACAAGTTTCTGCCAACACAGTTTCTATCAGTACAGTTTTACCAGTTTCAGACTTTATTGTGTGTTTCCACGTCACACTCACGTTTGAAAATTAGCATAATCAGTGGATACCTTAATTTATCTGACTTTTTTGAGTAATTTAATTGCCATACTCTTAGGTTTAGAAGTGTTTGGTTTCTCATCGAATACTTGGGTAAATATCATCTAGGTTTTGCGGTTTCTTCTATAAGCAGTTGTCACAGATTCTCTTGTACTGGCACTTGAGATCCTTATATTCCTTTTCAGTGAAGACAAATGCTGTCATAGGATGTCCTCTTCCCTCTGATCTGGCAGAGTAATTCACCAATAACTGCCATATTCTCATCAGTCAGCCATGTTAGCTCTGTGGAAGGCTGCTCTTCTTGCAGGTGAGCCTTCAGAGATGCAGTGAGAGGGCTAGGCAGGCTTTGTTTCAGTGAGCTAAGGTCTGGTGCAGAATGCTGACCTGTAGAGAGCAGAAGAGGTTTGGGTAGTGGGGATTGTGGTGGGCTGAGGGCACAGCACCATCCTAGCAGCAATTCTCTTGGCCCAACAAGGGGTTGAAGATGTTGCTGAAATGCTTTTAAGGCTTGCTGACCCTTGAGTAACCAGGAAGCAATCACTGAAGGAGAGGGGGGAGAGCAGATGCCATGTTGAATAGGAGGGGACTTCCACGTAGAGTTAATTTGCTGGAAGCAAATTACAGATATTTATTTTTAAAAGGAGGGGAGGCAGCTTTTGTTCCGTTGAATTAAGGTATGCTTTGCAGAAATTGCCAAAGGAAATTGTGCTGTAGAATTTGATGGATCTTCAGCGGAACGGAGAAAAACGAGTTTGCCAGTGCTCAGGGACAGCAAGAGGAAACACTGGGAAGTGGGTGTGAGAAATGATGGGAGGCTGTGAATGAAACCCATCTTAGAATGAAACGTGAGAGCTGAGATCACAGAGCGGCACAGGGAGGGAGAGCGGTTGTAGCTGCAGCTGGGCTGGGCTCCGAAGGAGTGCTGGGGGGAGGTGGCTCCCCGGCTGTGTTTCGGTGACTGGTGGGGTGAATCCTTGTAAAACTCACCAGACACAGTGTGCAGCTTCAGTGGGAGCATTTCTACCTGCTGGTCTTTCTTCTGCCCTAACATAATCCTGTTCTTAGGGGACCGTCAGGGCTCCTTTGGTCAGGGGACCATTTCAGCCTCCTGGGGCCGCCTTGCTGTGTCTGTTTTACATGCTGTGGTTTTTTGCTTGTTTTTTGTTGTTGTTTTGATCCAAGAGAGTAAGCCTATCAGAAGCATCCATTTCACTTGACAGGACGATGCTACACACAACGTCAGAGAAGGATTTGGTAGGGAAACTTGTGAAAAGGGACTGGCCTATTCAGGAGGGGTCAGGGAGAGAGCTGAGCAGGCTGCTGTAATGGATTTGGAGCAGGAATGGAAAGTACTTGCACAGCACTTGAGAAACAAACGAGTAGGAATAATAGAGGACTTACTCTATCTGAAGTTACCTCAGAAAGCATGTGTATAGTAACCAACTGATCCAAGGGCACAGAATGAACCTTCAAAACATCCCAGCAGCACGAGCATCTATATTTAACCCCTTCAAACAACTTGAGTTACAAGTGACCTTTCTTCCTTCCCCGACCGTGCTGAGAATGTCACTGCCCATTGTCACTGTTCTCTTGGCTTGCATTGTGCAGTAAGAAAAGCAATAAATGGAAATGTGATCTCTGGGGTTGTTCTTGGGAAGGGCAGCAGTGCAGCTGAGAACTGGGTCGCTGCTGTTGCCCAGAAAGCCACAGAGACAAGCAGCAGTGGTGCTGTCAGCAAGAGAGAGTCACAAATACACATCTTTAAAGGGCTGAGCAGAAAAAGTCGGTTTGCTCTGAGCAGTCAAGGATCCTTTGTTGTGAACAGCAGCATACTGATGCCGTGGGGCTGCTGTGGTTGTGAATGCTGATCACCAGCATTAATGCTTGTGTTCAGCTACGTGCTGGTGTTGTTCTGCTGTGCCTTGCTGAATCCCAGGTGCCTCTGTGCTCCCTTTTCTCAAGAGAATGAAGCTGCCCAGTGAATCTGCTTCATAGGGTAAGCAGAAGTGCAGCCATAGGGCAGGGGGATCTGAGCTGTAGGGAGAATTTGGTGGAGGAGGTCTGTGCTGCTGTAGGATCATGATCCCCTTCCCATCTAATGCTGTCATTTCTTCCATGCTACCTGTTCGGTAGGGAAGTTTGACTAAGTGGAAGAACACTGGTCACTGGGCAGCATTTTTATATTACTCAGATATGCGTGGAACCCTTCTGATGTTTTTGACCATCACCAGTTCTGGTGAAGATGGTAGAAGATCCTGTTCCTCTCAGCAGCTCAGGCTGTTCGTAAGGAGGCCCTTATACTGACAGGTCCAGTCTGTGCCCTTCTCTCCTTGTGGGTTCATGTTGGGAGCTGCTCTGTTTGATTTGTGAAGTTGCTGTCTTTTGGTTGGAGTAGTGAATCTTGAAATGCCTGTGTTCTGTTAGCTTAACTCATTGTAAACACGTGTGGTTTATGTGTAGGCAAAGGAATCTGCATGGAGCAAAAGGACAATTTTTGGCTGTTTAATCTTTTTTTTTTTCTCCAAATAAATTTGCTTGCATTGGTCTGTAAATCTAATAGAATATTAGCTCTACTGTTAATGAACTTTTCACTAAATACTTTGATACTATACTTAACTTTCTTTATTTTCCAGGGCAGGAAAACCTCCACCTGGCTTACATTTGGATGTAGTCAAAGGAGACAAACTCATTGAGGTATGAGAGCAGATTCTGTGTGTGCTCCATGTATCACATATATAGGCACCAGTGGTAGAAAATCTGGCAGCACTTTCCACACCCACTCAGAAGTATTTCCCTTCTCTCTGAGGTTTGCTATTTCCAAATCACTTTCTTTTACTCCAAAACTGCTGAATTAAGTGAAAGTTTTCCTTTGCCTGTACTGTCTCTCATTCTGTGCAGTGCTTCCATTTCTAGATGCTGTGTTTGAAAGGATGCAGAACCACAGTGGTCAGTTTGCAAACAGTGATGCTTTGGTTCCTGAATGCTGAACCTGTCCTGGTGTGAGAGAGAAAATAAAATGTTAGGGAAAGTCAGCACTTGGCAGAGTCTTACTGCTTCCAAGGTTGCAATTTTGTTTCCTAGACTTTTGTCTTAGAAACTTCAGGAGCAGGAATTCAACATGGGGAAGAAACCTCAAATCCAAAAGAGTAAGAATAAAAATTCTTCAAAAACCAACACACAAACCAAATGCTCTTCATGTTTTTGACAGAGAAGACCTAAGCCAATGACCCTATTTTAGCCACAGGGAGACTGCTAACCTCCAGTTGACTGGAACACAGACAGAAGTTTCTAGACAGCAAAGTCAAGCCAACTTCTCTGAGCAGAAATTTGGAAAACTAGGAGCTCAGTGTCAGATGAAGAAGGATTGAGGAGCTTAGTCTTTGCTGATTTGTACTGTATGCTACTGCAAGTGCATCAGACGTAAAGTGTTTCTTCTGATGTCCTGCAGGAGAGATTTACTGTTTAAAAATTGATTAGGATACCAGAATATGCTTTGCAAAGGAAAGAAAATAGAGGATTTACAAACAGGCTTATATTTGCCCAGCCCAGAAGCCAGTAAAATGAGCCTTTATGGGGGATAGTCCACGACTTGTTGGTTTAACAAACAACTTGTTGGTTGTTTTCAGAGATTGCTCTTAGTCCACGTTTAAAAGCACAGGCAGTTGGCAATGCCAGCATTGACCTGTGTGAGATCTTTGCTCAGCCTTAATTTGAAAGGAACTAGGTACCAACACTTGTAACCACATCTTCACAGTACTTCATTACCCCATGTAAGGAGTGGATGAGTTGGCTCATACCAGCTACTTGGACTAACCTTCAGTGCAGCCATCCTTCACTGGCTCTCCCTAGCCCTCAATAGCTTTCAATCCCAGTGCATTTTTTGTCTTCAAACCATGATCTCTGTCTTTTCTCAGTGTTGTTGCAGTTGTTAGGAACTGTTTTAGAGGTTTCAGAGGTCACAGCTGAATTAGGACTGCTTGTCAGCTCAGCCATCCCACTGCCATCCTATCAATAGCATCTGTGGTAAGGATTGTACTTGGCATCAGGCTTTCCAGTATTTCTTTCAGGCCGTGTAAGGAGATGGTGAGCAGAGCCAGCTGGCAGTGCCTTTGTTTTTTTTCTGGTCTCTGGCAGGTGGCCTTACTGCAGCCCTCCCACCTGAGAGACTTATTCTACGAGACAAGGTTTTTCTTGTCATGTTTCTTTTGGATTTTTGAGAATGGAGAGCTTTTGGATGAAAGAGCCTATATGCAACTCTGTGCTAAATGAACCCACGGAGGCAATCAAAGGAGATCTGTTCCAGACTGAAAAAGGCAGCAGAATGCAATACAGAAGCTGAGAATGCACCATTGCTTTAGACAATGCACGAAGAAATTCAGCATTGGTAAACTGTCAGTCAGGAATATCATCCTGGTCCTGTCACGTTCCAAGGATGGATGGTTAGGCTGTTCTACCCAAAGCTTTTGGATCTGCAGAAGGCCAAGTTTGGCTTTGTAAGCCTGAGGTCTCTGTCTGAATGGGTAAAGCAGATGGTGCAAACATCCAGATTCCCTTTTCTACTGTCACATGGTCATCCAGCAGTTCTTTTTGCTTACTCTTACCAGGCATTGCTAGCCTACTATCCAGGTACTCAGGGGTTCAGTAGGGGATGTGATCGTGGAGAGGTTAGGGAGTGACCATAGAGTCCTACTTCATCTCTGGAGCATCTGATGCCGATTATCAGCTTTGAAGCATCTCAGGGGCGCTTTGCCTGCCGCACACTGCGCCATGTGCTGAGTGCTGCAGCACGAGGTGACTGCTGGTTACAGGCACCTACACAGCCTGAGGTCCTGTTTGCTGTAGTGGCTCCTGGAGCACTTGATACTAACCGAGCCGTCTGTATGCCGGGTCTCCTCCAGAGGTCTGAGGTGTACTTTGTGATTGCTGGGTCTGAAAAGTGCAACATTAAAACGAGCCCTGCAGTGTTTAAGCTCAGTGTGCGAAGGATGACACTGGGTTATAGCTCAGAGGCACAGAGAATGTTAGAAACATCACAGGGAAGTGAAGGCAACAGTGATTTGTTGCAAGACTTCCAGTTTATGAATTTGTTTCAATCTTTGCAAAAGCTCCTGAGTGCAAATGAAAACCTGTTGGATGTTTGTTTTGGAGTAGATTTTGGCCAAGAATGAGAAATAACTGGACCAGTTTTTGTGGTCCTTGAAATTGTAAAACAGCTAAATGCTTACATATGGAATAAGAAATAAGCTTTTAAAGATCCATTAATTTGTATGCTAGTTTTGTTTAGGTAACTTGTTTGAATATGCAAAAATAGAAGTTAGTGCTCATCTTTCTCACAAACTGAAACCACAGATTTCGTTGGTACAGAGGTATTGAATGTGGGGAGAGTTCTCAGTGCTGAACTAAGGGACAATACTGGGTACTACTTGTCATAAAGCTGTTGGTGTGAGGTTGGATCCCCACAAAACCCAGCTCACCTTTCTCAAAAGCTGTGTTGTAACAAACACTGTTTGCAGGTCAGTGGCTGGGTGAAACAGCTGTAATGTTAATGGGCAATAATGGGAGAACATAGGAATGGTAATTGTTGATTAGGGCTTGCAGGGGAAAAGGAGAAGTCTTGTGAAAACCAGTATTTGTAAAGAGACAGTGATAATAAAGTACCCAGAAGATATAAAAGTCCAGGAGACTCTTTCAGTGTATCAGTGTATTGCTCTAGTTTGAATTACAGTGAGCCTTCAAGGTGTACAGTTCTCCACCAGACACAAGTAAATTCAGAGGAGAGACCTGCATGCTTCAGATGTTCCAACAGGAAGAATATGGTTGTTCACATTTTATTTGCACTTGCACCTTGTTTGTCAGCAGATACTGTTTGAAGGTGAATTTCTGATCAAACAGTGATTCTTGATGTATCAAGTGAGATGTTAGAGACAGGAATAACTGGGCATCTTCCATATTCAGCTGTTCTGAATTTAAAAAGAAAAAATGCACATTTTTGTGTTGAACAATGTCAGCCATTACTGGCATGTTGGTCAGTTTATGATGCTTTGTTTTGCATTTACTCTTTTTATTCACATTTTTGAACTTTTCCAGGAAGCTCCAAAAGATTCTAGGAGTCTAATGTCCTCTTCTGTTTGATATTCTACCTCAGAAACTCATCATTGATGAGAAGAAATATTATCTCTTTGGGAGAAATCCTGATCTGTGCGATTTTACCATTGACCACCAGTCTTGCTCTCGGGTCCATGCTGCCTTGGTCTATCACAAACATCTCAAGAGGGTCTTCCTCATAGATCTAAACAGCAGTAAGTAACATGACATTTAATCCCACAGTAATACTGCTTCAGTGCTTCAACGTTTTTGAATGAGAGATGCTTTCCTTTCTTTTTTGTTGCTGTTTGCACTCTGTGGCCAGATGGTCAGAATCTGAAATAGCATCCTAGTGAAAGATTGGCAGTGGTTAAGAACAAGTGAGTGCTTGTTCCAGGCAGCTTACCTCTGCTTCCCCTGGTGTTTAAAGTGGTGTTTTTAGGCTCTTAAGAGAGTGGAAGAAAATCACTTGACCTTTCCTTTGCAATTGTCATGAAACGTTCTATCCTAGGAGTGGTTTTCTAAGATCTAGAAGCTGACATACTGTGTTTTCCACCAAGAGAATGGTTGCAGACATGGTACGTTGTGGCATACAGGATTTTCTGCAGACTGTCTTAGTTTGTGAGATGATAGGTAACACACACACAGCTGGTGTTTGCAGCAGTGCTTCGTTGGTTTGTATCTCTGCAAACCACGTGCAGGTTTTGAACTTCTCAAGGCTTGAACACTGTGAGCTCGAGCAGATGACTAACACTGTTTTCCATTGTGATGTTCTTCTCAGCACATGGCACGTTTTTGGGTCATATCCGTTTGGAAGCTCACAAACCCCAACAGATACCCATTGATTCCACAGTTTCATTTGGTGCTTCTACACGGGCATATACTCTGCGAGAGAAGCCTCAGACTCTGCCTTCAGCAGTTAAAGGAGATGAGAAAATGGGTGGAGAAGATGAAGAGCTCAAGGGTTTGCTGGGCCTGCCAGAAGAGGAGACGGAGCTTGACGTGAGTATGAAGGTCCCTTGTTGTTAGATGGTCTATCCGTCTGTAACAGGTGGCATTTTCTACTTGTTTGCTTGGTTCAGGTTCTTAATTTCTTGTTCATGAAGATGGTCTGAGTTGCCTTCTGCCAGCAGAAACGTACAGATCATCTCATTCTGCCATGATAGGGTATCTTCATGCTTTTTCCCAGAATCAGTGCTCCAATAATCCCACTATTCCAATAGTCTTTTCACAGAGGGATTGCAGGCCTTGCAAAGAGTTGTCTCTTGCCAGCTAGGTCACCGGTGATTTCCCATGCTGTTTCCCATTGCCAAATAACAGTGAATGCAGCTCTGTTTCTTACAGTTAGCCAGTGCAGAGTGGCAAAGCAGTTTGCATGGTATTCACAGGATCACTGAGTTTGGAAAGGAGCTCTTGAGATCATCTGGCCCTCTGTTCGAGCAAAGTCAGCTAGAACAAGTTGCCCAAGCCTAGTTAAGTTTTTAGCATCTCCACTGAAACACTCAGCAGCATTTCTAGATAATCTGTTCCTGCATCAAAACATTTTTTCTTCCTAGGGGTCCAGAGTTGAAGTTAGGCAGTGGGTGGCAATCTTTTGACATGCACAGACGGTGATCAAAGCAGACTTCACAGACTTCTTGCTTAAGATGTTTCTTATCTAAATCTTTTTTTAGAACCTGACAGAGTTTAATACAGCCCACAACAAAAGAATTTCCACACTAACCATAGAGGAAGGGAACTTGGATATTCAGAGACCAAAGAGAAAACGGAAGAATTCCAGAGTGACATTCAGTGATGATGATGAAATCATCAATCCAGGTAAGTAGTTTACTCTCTAGTTGATAACATTAAAGGCTCTCTTTCCAAATTCTCATAGGAGTTCCTCATGGCTGTATATAGGTAAGAGAATAGAAATTTGACACGGAATGTTTGAGATCTGCTATTTCTGACTCACTTAAATCTGTGATTTCTGCTTTTCTTCTCTCTGTAAAATTTCTGCATGATTTTGTGCAGGATGGAGATGTCACATTCAGCTTAATTGTTCAATTTTAATCAGATTTGAAAAGACCTTATGGATCCAAAAGAAAGAAAGGTTTTGAATTCTTTGCCTTCTCTAGAATCTAAATGAGAACTGAACTTATTGTTTGTTTTTTAATTAGAGCCTTAATGCTTTCCCTTCCTGTTCCCTAATGGATTCAGTGTCTGTCTTCAGCTCAGTGTTTTGCTACTTGTCTGGCTATCTAATTCAAAATGACACTTCTAGAGTTGTGTCTAATCCCTCTTTAGTCATTTTTCTTCCTCAGCTCTTTTACGGTAATGACATTAATGATGTATTTAGTAGCTAATGTTCATAGTAAGCACAGCTTATTCATAAGTCTTGCCTTAATTTGATAATGCGTGGCACCCAGAACGGCCATTCTTATTCATAATGTAGCTCTCAGAACATCTTCGTGTTTGATTTTTCAAAGGCTGCATTGAATTCTTCTTCATTGACTCCTTCAAGGCCTTTCAGGACCAGCTCTTGTGCCTGTGAGCATGCACAGTGCATTGTCCAGCAGCACCTTTCAGCCCACAGTTCCTTTCAGTTTGAGCAGTGTAAACACGGCTGTCCATCTATCCCTTCTAGATCACTGCCCCATTTTGTAGCTGCATGGAAGTTTTCCTTGCCAGAATAACTGATGAGGCCTCCTTGACACAAAGCCACTAGGTGTCCCCACCCAGCCACTTCTCTCTTCTTTATTAAAGCACACTTGTGCTTTCTGAGGGCTGCTGGAGTGCTGGAAAGTACATCCACTTACCAGCTCTTCGCGTAGGTTCCTTCATGTCCTTACTTGGCAGATGTTCTGTTTTTTCCTCTGTTGATTCTGAAAGCTGCACTGTTCTTCCCTTTGCAGAGGACGTGGACCCTTCTGTTGGGCGTTTCAGGAACATGGTACAGACAGCAGTGGTCCCTGTTAAGGTACGCAGTGACTTTCAACCTTGTAATCAATCCATTATTGCAGTGATTAACTCACCGGGTGGTTTACACCTTACAACAGAATGTGCTGTGCTGAAAGGGATTTTCCTTTTAAGGAGAAGTTGTGTTTGTGTATCACAGTTATACCTTTTAGCAATCTGACCATTTTGCATTAAGTCCAGCTCATCTTCTTTCTTTAACAGCACATGGGCTCAATGGCAGGTTTTTTTGCATCTCAAATCACTTTTCAGTGTGGTAATACTGGGCATTGGTTGAAACTGTGGGAACTGTGCAAAACAAATAATTAAAATGAGAAAGTGTTTGTTTAAACACTGTAAGTACTAAAGATTTGATAAGGCTGCATGCCAGAACTTAGAGAGCTAAGACTCTTCCAGAACAAGTGTGTTGCCAGCACTGTGTTTAATTTGAATACTCTAAGAAGTTATGCAAAACTTCAAGTGACTGAGCAGCATTTGTTGTTTGTATAAAATAAGTGTGGAAAAGGATCATTCTACCTAAGCCACAAACTTACTGCAGGAGAAGATTCAGGTGATGAGGATCATTCGAGTGATGTAGAAAATTGCAGTTTCTTTCTTACTAAAAGGGAAAAGAGGAACTGTGTTACTGACCAGTGACCTGCCTGGTCTGGTGTTCAGGAAAAGCTCAAGACTGGTCTGCATTCATTGTGCATTTTTAACCATTTATTACTGAGTAGTTTTCAAAGAAACCCGAGGGAAATATTCTGGGACAAAGAGTGGGAAATCCACTCGTATCTGTGACTGTTTATTTGTGGCTGCTCTCGGAGTGTTTTGGGGGAAAATTGTGCAGCCATCTGGTTTAAGTAGCTTTCTTGTTTCATGTATTCTGAATAACTGCTAAAATGCTTTTGCTCTACAGAAGAAACGGTTGGACAATCCGGGCTCACTGACCACGGATGACTCTGCGACACGGCGTATGCAGAACTTCCCCTACAGCGGAGGATTATATGGGGGTTTGCCTCCAACCCACAATGAGGCAGGTTCCCAGTCACACGGCGTCCATGGGACAGCACTCATTGGTGGTCTGCCAATGCCCTACCCCAATCTTGCCCCAGATGTGGACTTGACTCCTGTTGTACCTTCAACAGTTAACATGAACCCAGCTCCAAATCCTGCTGTCTTTAATCCTGAAGCTGTGAATGAACCCAAGAAGAAGAAATATGCAAAGGAGGCATGGCCGGGCAAGAAGCCAACCCCTTCCCTGCTGATCTGAGTTAGGGTTTGATGAGGGAGAATGGGAGTTACGAACTCCAGAAACTGTTTATGTGTAGTATTGTCCTTTTGCAATTTTAATGTCCTAACCAGATGTAATACGGAGGTTGGAGAAGCGAAATAATCCTTTAAAGATCTGTCTTCAAACATTTTTATAACTGTTTAAAAAAAGACAACGACAATATAGCTACCATCTCCCTCTGAACCAAAATATATGGCAGCCTTTTCTTAGCCTCTATCCCCAAAGGTCTTTACTATGAATTTTGATCATATAGGTTGAAGGGGCAGAATCACACAGTTTAGGTTGTCATTTATGGCATGACCCTGCAAATGTGTGTATTTAGGTGTTGTGCTTACTATGAGTAACGTCGTTCCTGCCAGGCTTGCTCATAGCAGGTCAGCTGTATCAGAAGTCGATATTCTTGGGGCCAGGCCTTCCAGAAATCCCACTGGTCTGAGTTCTAAAACCTGCAAAATACAGGCCAGCTTTTATTTTTTATCTTTTCAAAGCCTTACCTGCATGGGGCATCTCTTTTTTTTTCTTTTTTTTCTTCCTACTTTGGCTACAACTCGTTTTAATTTCCACCTAAAGCACTGCAGCATCACGTGAATTCGTGAGAACTTGGGAGTTGAGATGAATGGGGAACCTCTGGGCTTCTTGAGCTGTGGTGCAGTGTTGTATCACAGACTGCTGTGTGGCTGGATAGAGGGGCACCCATGGATGGATCTGAGTTTGTATGGGTGTTTATGGCAGCAAACAAGCATGGCAAGCCTGGGAGCATTTGACTGGTGGCTGGAAACTGTCTACAGTGTGCAAAGAATCAACAGCAAGGTAGTGGTAACTGAAGGTAGAGTTAGCACAGAGGAAGATACTTATTTAAACTTGGTGGCCCTTTTAACTTCAGTAGTTTCATTTTTACTTGCTAATGGCATTTCTGAGCTTAGAGCACATGGCATGCAACAAGGCACAGGTGAACATGAGCAGCCATCAACAGTGGTGCAGGACTCATATTTAACAACTAAAACTGCAGTCTGCACGGTGTTTTGGCTGCTGGTAACAGAAGATAAGAATTACGTGCCACCTAAAGCTAGAATAGGAATTCTCAGTAGAGATTCTGCCTCACCCTGAATAAAGAAGCATGCCAAGTTCAAGTTGGTTTCATGACATGAGCTTTTTTCCTTTTTTTTTATTTTATTTTTAACTATTTCATCATTTTTCCCCATTGAGTAAAATGAGAAGTGTGATTTGGGTTGTTGTTTCCAGCCTATGAAATCCTCAGTTTTAGATTTGAAAATCTGATTCAGAGTTACTCAGATTGTATGCCTTTACACAAGGTAAGGCCAGAGCCCTTTTGTTTTTTTCTTCTTGGATTTCTTTTGTATTTTAACACTATCTATTGCAGTTCAGCTATGTAGTCACATTCCTTTGTTTGGGGGATTCCTCTAGGAAATGTGCACTGAAATGACAGTGGTGCCAGCTGTTCATTAGTGTGTACAGTACTGTAGCTGCCAGGCTAAGAATTTCTGTGAAAATATGATGGTTTCTGAAGCAGTGCTATTTTGTAGTGCCTCTGTGCTGTAGGCACTAGACTTGTTTTGGACAGGTGCTTCAAAATCAGTGTGACTTGTGCATCTGCAGTGATTGCATCTATCATGGTGTTGAGGCAATTAGAGCTAGTGGCTACCCCACCCATAGGAGTGATGCCTTTAGAGACTGGTTTGTTCCCCTCCATGCCTTCATGTCCAGCTCAGACTATTCCTCTGATGAACACGGTAACTTCTCCATGATATAGTTGTGCCACTCTGTGCTTAGTTGCTATTGAACATGAGACATTCTTCTTTCAGACACTTCCTACCCTTCCTAAAAATCTCACACTTCATTTTTGCTTATTTCCAGGATGTAGAGTTTTCTGTTTCCAGCCAGTCTGTTTTACGAAGGCAACTCTTTACAGTAAGACTAGTTAGAGCAAGTAAGCATTGAACAGGTCATCTTTTATTTTATTTTATTTTTTCTTTTTAATTTTTCATTGTTTGGTTTTGCCAGTGGCTCTTTGCAAGATCTTTCTTGAAAAGGGAAGCTTTACTGCTTATTGGTTTTTAAAGCTCTTCTCCTCCCTGGGTTTGTACAAGCTCTCATTATTTCAGAGCTTAGCGGCCATAGCTGGCCAGTACAGGAGGGGACAGTGTAACATCCAGGGGCTTTGTACAGAAGTTTGTACACTTGTGTAATATGTAATAGGCCTTTTCACACTTTCTGTTGAGCTTTTTACCTGTAACCTTTACTATGTTGTAAATTAAATGCAGATTTTGCCAGTATGGAGAGTGTAGTGTGTTCGTTCCCAGTCTACGCTTCTTCTGCAGTTGAGATTGTACATTTTTTGTGGCCTATTAAAGGAGTTGTGCCACTGCAGCCATCACTGCAGGCTTGTTCTTAGTGGCTGGCTCAGGCTGCAGCTTTTAAAGGAAGCTAGGGAAGTAGGATTGTGCCCAGCTGAGAGCAGCCAGACGTGGTTTGGGTCCTTTTCTTTGAAATTAGCCTTCCTGGAAGTCCTGTAGCCCACAGGTGATACCTGACTCACATCAGGCCAGTGCATATGACTGGAACTCCCACTGTCTCTGTTTTCTTTTTGCTGCCTTTCTCAAAACACCCTGCACCTTCCACTGAGTTCTGATGGTTGCCTTGGTGTTGTGTTTTGCTTCCAAGAAATGCCTTCTTTTTCAGGGAATCTTTAAGAAGAGGAGAAGCTGCTGAAGAGCCCACATCCACACGACCACCTTCTTGTGTATAACTGTCTGCCATCTGGTATCATCTGGCACATCCTGGCAAATTCAGACACATTTGCAGAAGGTGGTTGAGAAGGAGGTCTTCAATAGCAAATGTCCTCCTAGTACCACTTAGCTTATTCTGATTCATGGTCCAAGTTATTGCCATCTTGCAAAGACACCCAGATGGAAAGCTGCTAGTCTTTGTGCTGACTTTTGAGGAACTGGCCAGTAGAACTGAGTTAACACTGTATGTGTTAATTCTGGTCATGGCCACATACAGAGGTTTCCCGATTAATTTCTGGACTTTGCTGTGTGAGTTCCTGCCTGAGGTTCCTCATCTACTTCTAGATATGTCTAAGACGAGTGAGAGTTGAAAACAGCAGCATTCCTTCTGGTGGGTAAGTGATCGCTGTGTCATGGCAGGGCGAGTCCTTTCCGAAGGGAGGCACAACCAGCAGTTCATCCTTTTATGATTTTTGCTTTTATGATTCCAAAAGCTTGCAGAACCTTGTTCCCAGTTAACCTTTCTTCTGTAGGCACAGCAGAGTATCGAGTTACTTTGATAGCAATTCCACTGTTCAGCAAAGATGAGGAAAAAAGCCTGGAAATGGCCTTTTGAAACAGTAATCCCCATGTCTGCTTCAGTAGTGCTGCTGGTTCAGTTCCGATTTTGCAAGTTATTCTGATACTGCTTGCTTGTTAACAGGTCAGAAGCATTATCAGCTGTGAGGATGCTTCATGCTGAGCCCACTGTTGCTTGGATCCTAGCAGCTGACTTCACCTTTCACCTGGGCTGGTCTGGCTGGGATCCTGCTTGTTGATTTCTGCTTCTTGTCTGAGGAGCTCTGGCCTCTTGTAACATCAGCTACAACATCAGTAGTCAAAGCTTAGGACTTTGAACGACAAGCAGGTCATGATGACTCAAGGAGTGCCTAAAATCTGTTGTGCCTAAAATCAGTTGTGTGTCTACCCTGAAAGGTAATTCTTCAGGCAATTTTTATGTTTCCCCAGTTAGAGTGGACACCAGAGGAGCAGGTGGACAGCTGTGCTACCTGGAGGTGTTTATGACAAGGTGTGACTTCCTCCCATTGCCTGAAGCTGAACAGTTCAAGCCTTGCTCCTGACTTCTTACAGCACAGACATCATGTGCCCCTGTGACTGCCACTGCTTCTGTGTCTGCTTCACTTTGCTTTCTTCCAGCCAAGCCACATGAAGATAAAAGGAGAAGAAATCCTGAGGGCAGGAGCCCTGGCACAATGAAAAGTGCTGGTACCTAAATGTCTTCTCTGCCTGAGCCTGTAAATGCTGTTTGAAGGCAAGGTAATGGCTGAGATGGGCAAAGGAAGAAAATGAGATCCACAAGCCCAGGTGGGCAGAAAATAACTGGTAATACCTGATGTGGCTTGAATGGTGCTCTGCAGATAAGAAAACCAGCACTGTTTTCCAAGTAGCTCTATCTACCAACTGTCACCTGAGCAGAAAGGACACAACAGAATGACATTTTAATGTCTCTGTGAATTACTGCAGGGACACAGAAAGCAGCTGGCAGCCCTACGTGCAGGGGTGGAGGGTGTCCTGAGCCTGCAGGGCCTGACCGTGAGCATGGATATGGCCTTTTGGTTCAACGTAGATCTCAAGTGTTGTTTAGGATGTGGCACAGCTGAGGGGTTTGCCAAGGGCCCAGTGAGGTACCAGTCCATCTGAGGGATGGCAGAGAGCAATTCACAGACTCACAGAATCATAGGGCCTGGAAGGGACCTCTGGAGGTTCCCAGACCAGCCCCTTCCCCAAAAACAGGTTCCCTAGAGCAGGTTGCACAGGAAAGCATATGGGCAGGATCACCTTCCTTGCCCTGCTGGCCTTGTTTTAAATGCAGCCCGAGGTGTGGTTGCCTTTCTGTGCTGTGAGGGCACATGGCTGGATCATGCCTAGCTGAGCAGCACCCCTAAGTTCTTTTTGGTGGGGCTGTGCTCAGTCCTTCTGTCCCCTAGCTTGGAATACCCAGCTGCAAGACTTCGCACTTGGCTTTGTTGTGGGCCGGAGCTGCTGGGCAGTGGTGCCTCTATGCTCACTGTCCTATTCTGACCTGGTCTTGCTACGCCCTGGTGATGGCCTGGGGATCCTCTTTGTCGCCCTGTCACCTCCATGTGATGCTGAGTACCACAGGGCAAGCAGCAGAGAAGCCATTTATTGAGTGCTCTGAATTTTTTCAAGATAAATGCAAGACTTTGCATACAAACAGCCCATCCTAACCAGGGAAGATGGAGCCAAAGTTCTGGTGGCTCTTATCAAGCCTGTTTATCTCTGCTAGCACCAAAAAAATCTCTTTACACTGCAGTGACTGGCTGGGAATGCTTCTATGAGATGCTACACATGACATCTACCAGCGAGTACAGTGGAAGTGGAAATGACACAGAGGAATGTGTCTTGAGCAGCCTT